CAGTTTCCATATTGAAAATATGAGCACAGCAGTATTTCATCTATAATCGGACCATCATGCAGTAGTAATTAGAGGTTCTGTTCACCGCATTCCTCCAAAACTTGTGTGCATGTAAGTCAGCTATAACATTGTATATATGTTTTTGAAGAGTTACTGTTTTCAGTCAATGAGGAAATTAGTAGCACTTCTGGTGGTTTCTGAATTGGACTCTTAAATACTGTTTGCTTTATGAGGTGTAAAAAAATAAAAATTATAAAGTATATTTTATACATACATAATTATATATATGTAATTACACAAGATGTAACAGTGGCAGAACTTTAGACTGGTCCTTTTTCTTGCATTCAATCCCAAAGCAAGATTTATTGGAAGTAGGATAGTGATTAGGTGAGCAGGAAAGCTGCTTTTACAAGGCTTATGACTTTTTATCCTTCTTTCCATTCTTTTTCCTGTAAAAAGGAAAAAACAGTCCCTGAATTCTGTATTCTGGTGTCAAAAAGCTAATTTGGGAACAAAATTAATTTAAATGGAGATCAATAACGAGCATAGTAATTTATTAATTAAATTAGAATCTCACTGAAGGATGCATCTTCCGTTGTTGAGATGCTAACTTGGGAAGTTTTAAATCCATTTTATTGATACGCCTTTATTTGAAACATAGCATGACAGTTAATGGCTAACTGTATTGTTCTACCATTTTCAAATTCAAATTTTATCAGACTGCAAAACAGCAGTAGAGTGTAATCTGGGAGATCAGTTTAACTTTGCCCTCATTTATTTAAAAAGTCCCACTGACTTCAGTACCACTGGTATTCAGACAAGTAGTGGAAGAATTTTTTTCGGGGAAACCTGTTTGTAATATGTTAAAGGAGCAAACTTATGTATTAAACATTTGTAACAGAAATATATTCTTTATGTCTTGGATCTTTTTAATAGTAGCTAATCTTTCCTTCTATACCTACACAAAGATATTTATATAGGTATATAAATAATGCTGGATTGATGGGCTTGGGTTTTAGTTGAGATAGTGAGATAAACTGGGTAAGTTTGATCCATATGGGTCACACCTTACTTAAATTATATTGATGTTTATATCATACAGGGTGTTAAGAATTTTAAATATGTATTTTGAAAACCTGCCTGAAATTTGTTTCAGCAATTTAAAGCTAATTTGCTTGGTGGCAAGGATTTTGTAATAAGTATGTCCAGAATTACACTTTTTCACATTTGCCAGTCCTGATGACATTGACTTAGAGGATCTTTTAAAGATTTACTGACATTGACTGATCAGCTATCAGAGAATGTTTCTGACACTTGAGTCACTGTTATTAACTCAATATGTGACAGGACAAAGTGCTTTTATGTTAACCAAGCAATGACAAATTGCCTTGCTACCACAGAAAAAGGATAAGAACTCAAAAGTTACTTGCTTTGCATGAAGATTTGTTCCAAGTTGTTTCTTTTCAACAGTGGATGAAAAGCATTATAGAAACATAATAGAAGGGGGAAAGTAATTTGATATTTTGTTCCCCCACACATGCCTCTAAAATAAGAAACTATTTGATTCCAAGTCAAAGGTCATCAGAAGCTCTACTGATTCCCTCATTGATTGAGAACAGTAAATATTCCTTCAGTATTATATTTAAAAAAAAAAAAAACAGACCTGAACACAAATCTTGGAAGAATGTGATGAACAGAACATCTAATTTTTGTTGTGTAATAATGGCCCACTCCACCATCAAAGTAAGAGAAAAAACATGCTCTCATATAATGATAGTCTATGTGCTATGATTTTCCAAATTCAAAGGTTGAGAAGACTGAAGTTTGTAGAATAAAGCTCTCTAAACTCTATTATGCATACCACAGTTGGCTGAGTTAGAAGGACTGCAAAGAGGGATTATGAAGATTTTAGGAGCAATATAGTCTGCATATTCAACAAGTGGAAGGTACCAAAAATGGAAGGCTTATAGCCTTTTACTCATATATGACTTGGTTTTTATAATAAAAAGGTAAATTAATTAATGTGTCTGAGCAGTAAAGCTATAATCCTGTGTACAGTTATTCATAGACTTATAAAGACTGTAGTGCCATGACCATCTTCTCTCATAATTTACTGAAAACTAATGCAGCAATAAGAATTCAAGCAGAAGTGTGTGTGATTTCTGTTTAGACTTTTAATTTTTATTCTAAGCTATCTTTGTCATATATGGCTTTAAGTTCAAGAATGTTCTGTAAACTACTTATGTGTTCCACATGGGTCTCACAAAACATACATTTGTATAGTATACACTTAAATTACACTGTGACATGCTTGCTTTGTCATCTTATCTATCAAATAGATAGATCAAATAGAAGGGGAAAAAAAAAGTCAAATACTCATTGAAAAGCTCTGGCTTTATATGCTGAAATTGTTATTGAAGTCAAGTGGATTTTCTTGAGTAGTGGAACTTATGAAGTTGAGCCACCTATGAATTAATGTTCTGTGGTTGCATTTTCTGGTGCATGAGGTCTGATTGAAGCTCTTCCAGTGTTTGAAGTATTGACTGAAAAGTCTTGTCTGGACTCAGACTAATTTGCCAGTGACAAATTATGTTCTGCTGAAACATCATCTTGTAGCAAAGCCTCAAGTTTTTTTCCCGCTAACTCCCCAAAATACATAAACAGCCTGCTTAAAAATTTCTCAGTGGATTATTCCTTTCCCAGTATATGTGACAATCTGTGCTTCTCTGCCCTGTCTGGGCCTATGAAAGTGTCTCAATTCTCTGTCCAGCCATGCATTCAGGTCCAGTGTGTCTTCTGCTGTTCAGTAGAAAACCCATGAATGTTACTATCTGTATAGTAGAGCAATAACACATGTAACTTACTGTAAGTACTTTTAAAACCTTTTGCATTTTTCTTAATTTGCTTCCTGTTTCCATTCAAGTTTTGTTCTTTTTCTGAGGAAATGACATGCTAGGAAATTACTCCAGCTCTTTGTGTTCTCTTGATTGTCCTAATAAGCTTGTCAATTTTATAAAAAAAATTTACATATAATTAAATTCCTACACTTTTTTCTCAAATTGATGACCATGTAGAGGAAATACTATAACTATATTAACTGAGTTAAACTTAAGTGTGAGTATATGTCTTATCAGATACCAGACAATTGACAATGGCATGTTCTTACGCCCTAGTCATAGAAGCAGTTTCAGTCACAAGCAGCAGCATCTTGGACACTAATTCCAGTGAATGAAGAAACTATGCTTAGTTATTCCTGTGTGCAAGAGCTTTCTTATTAATATTCTGCCCGGGCTGAACTTCTCTTCCCTGTTTAGCATCTCCCAGCAACTGCAACCATCTTTGTTCTCCTTCCTGCCCTTTCCCTTCTACATTGAGTTTCTCAGTCAGTCTGCATTTCCTCTCGCTTCTGAAGATTCTTTCTGCTTCCAGAGATTTAAAGTCCCTCCTTTTCTCCCAGCAATTAAAGGGCTTGGTTTCTCTGTCCCAAGATCATCTTTTCTTCTCCTCCCTCTACCTACTGCCTGTGGGCATTCTTCTGCCCTGATCTTTTTCCTCTTGGAGCATTTATTTCTAACAGTGCTTTCTCTATTTTTGCCTTCACTGAGGATTTCCCTTTTTCTCTGAGGATTTCCCCTTTTTTGCCCTGCCCTTAGCTGACACTGGATAATCCTCCTTCCCAATTCTGATGTGTCTTGAGGAAGCTCTTTTTCAAACCCACCACTAGTGAAGTGGAAGCTTCTTGCCCAAGAAGGATGGAAAGCCTGCCAGGAGGTGAGATGGAAAAGCTGCTTTACCTGCCTGGGGCAGGGGGGAAGAAACAGCCTCATGGCCCCTCTGGCTGGCTCCAAGAAAGTGTGAGCTGCGATGGGGCCCTTGGGGCCCTTGGCTTGCTCTATGGGGTCTCTTGTATTGGCTGCAGCAACACATCAAAGGTGTGTTGAGCAGCTCTCAGCTTCTCTTACCTGTTCTTTCTCGCTCTTCCTCTTCACCTGACTTGACCCTACTTTGCCTTCTCCTCCTTCCCCTTTCTCTTCTAGACTTGTTTAAATGTGTCCACTAACCATTTTCCTTTTGCATAACAATTTACTGAACCATTCTTTAAAAATCTCATTATCTTAATAGCTTGCCTTTTTTATACCCCTTTTGCTTCCTTTTCTGTCCTTTTATTTATTTTTACATGTAGAAGCCTGGTCTCTTTGAAGAGAGGGAACAGGTTGCAAATAAAAATTAAAGAACAAACACAGCACAAAAAAAACCAAAACAACCTGTAACACTTTCAGTTTTCTTCTGGCACCTTTCCAATGCCTTTAGTGTAACTGAGGGGAACTTGACCAGTCTCTTTGGAGAAGGCAGATGGACCAGATCCTGGATACTGCTCCCGGGCTCAGCAGTGCTCAAGTGTGTGTCTTAGCTGGAAGAGCTGCTCCATTCTGCTTTCAGCTGAAGAGCAAAAATTGAAGGTTTTCTTCATCACTTTATTGGTCTATCCGGGCTTAGAGAGGATTACCAAAATAACAGAGCTTGTGAAAGCTGCCAACACCATCTTCTCCGATGACTTCTGCAATCCTTTGGCAGCTCAAGAAGGCAACATGATTTAATCTGCAGACGATCGCTGTAACATCCCCAGCAACGTCTGTGCTGCTGCCTGTATGGCTGGCTCAGCCTCTCCCGTGGGGAATTTGTAGCATCCAGCCGCTGGCATCTTCTCCTGGCGGAAGCTCAACCATTTGAAGAGAAAGGGGAGGGGGGGGGAAATCCCGATGAGGCTGTGTGCACATGCTGTTCTCTGCTTCCTCGCCTGGGTGTTTTGCTGAAGGATTGGGACATCTGCACAGCACGGCGAGCGGTGGCGGCTGGAGCTTGCCCTGTTTGGGGCTGAAGTTCCTCCAGCGCTGTGGGGGTTTGAGGGCGTGCAGCGCGCCGGGGAAGGCCGGCAGCAGGGACAGGATCGCACTACCCGGGACGTACACAGACAGACTTGATTAAATACTTCAAGCCTAATGGCCTCTGGCATGAACAGGATTCATCAGCCCGGGACTTGCAATGGATCTAAAGTCGCTCGCAGGAGCTCGGCAGATGAATGCAATCAAGAAATGCACATTAAAATGTGCAAGAAGATTGCCCAGCTCACCAAGGTAAGACTCGCTGTTGCAGCCCTCCTGGGGAGGCGAGACTGCCCTGGTCTCGGGGGCGGGAGGGCTCGCCCAGAGCTGCCGCCTCTGATGGGAGGCTCGCTCGGACCTGCCGCCTCTGTCTGACAGGAGGGAAGGGAAACCGGTCCTTCTATAAGGCGGTTGCCGAAAACATTGGTGCGCACAAACTTCCTTTCAAGTAGTTCCCCCGCGGGTGCTACAGACCGGCCTTAGCGGGTTGCCTTTGTGGCGGACGATCGACGTCTCGCTCTTAACCGCTCAAATTAGCGTGCAACAATAGCGAGAAGAGCTCGGGCTCTGCGAAGACATAGGGTTTGTCTGTGTGCTGCTCGGAGGGATTGACGGTATCCGGTTTTCTTTTCCCCTGAATTACGAAAACGGAAATTAATTTGCATATGAGAGGTTCTCGAGTAATATGGTTGCAAAGCTACAGCCAAACTGTGGTACTAAACTACAGTATTACTTCTTGTGTTGTACTTAATATAGTTCCCGATGTGCATAAGTAGAGATAATGTAAATGACATTCGTGAAACAGAGGAGGTGGAAAAGAGGCAGGACTAAATTAGGTAGTATATTGTAGTAAAACTTGTAGTCAATACCGAGCTACACTACAAAATACTTTGAACATCTTCCACACCATGTTAAGAAAGAAGAGAAAATCTCTGGGAGATGGCAGTTATATTTTAAGCTGTTTTTATGCTGCACATCTGTCAGTGAGAAAAACATATTTCCTACCCTTGTTTACTAATCCAGCTTTTGTATGTTCTGTAACCTCACTAGAATTGGTAAAGACATTTTAGCAATGAAAAAACAGTGGCAATGAAAAAAATCCTGACTAAAAATACAGGTCCAATAGTCAGAAATCATTAAGATGTTCACAGTACCATTATTCTCATCTAATGATGACTGAATGTGATCATATATATTGTGTATGATACATACTGTTGTGGTTTTGTGTGGTGGGTATGTCTGGTAGCAGGGAGGGGCCACAGTAATGGCTCCTGTAAGTAGCTGCTAAAGGTTTCCTTGGACTTCAGCTCTGCTGGCAGCACGGGAGGGGCTGCAGTGGTGGCCCCTGTAAGTGACTGATAAGAGTTCCCCTACCTTCAAGTGTTCTCTGGCAGCAAGGGAGGGGCTCCTGATAAGTGACTGCTAAGGGTTCACCCCCACCCCCCGGCTCCACGGGTTTAGTAACCGGGAGGGGGAGTGGGGAAAGGAGTAGCCCCTGTGAAAAACGACTGGAAGTTTCCCCAGCTTCAGGCTGGACCCACCCCAGGCCAGGGCTGAGCAATCGGTGCCTCTGCAAATAACATATTTAAGAGGGGGCACAGAACAATGGGGTTCGTGCGGCCCCAGGCATGGACCGCCCCGGCTGCCCGGCTGCCTGCTCGGCTTCTGTGAACCGACCTGCTGTAGCCCAAGCCCAAGCCTCCGCCTTGGCTTGCCCGAGAGTCAGTTTCCTCAGGAGCTGGTGAAGACCTGCGGCAGGGAGAGAAGCAAGAGTTTTGAGAGGAAGGACCACACGACACTCTGGTCAGAGAAGGGAAGCAAGAAAGGAGTGAAAGCGCCTCCCAAATTTCCCCTGCAGCGTGGTGAAGATTCATGGTGACGCACGGTTTGTCCCTTGGTGCAGCCATAGAGGACCCCACGTAGGAATTACGGAGAGGCCCACGCCAGAGCTGGGCAGTCATCAGGGGACTGTGGCCCCATGTGGAAAAGGACTCACGCCAGAGCATTTTTTTTTTTTAAAGGACTCTCCTGTGAGAAGGGACCCCACCTTGCAGCAGGGAAAGAACGTGAGGAGCCCTCCCCTGAGGAGGAAGGAGCAGTCGACTGACTGCACCCCCCCATTCCCTGCCCCCCTACCCTGCCAGGGGGGAGAAGGTAGAGAACAAAGCCTTTGGGCTTTGGGAAGAAGGGCGGGGTGGGGGAGAAGTGCCTTTTTAAGATGTGGTTTCTCTCTCACAGTATCTTGCTTCTTGTTGTAAATAGTTAATAAATTCAATTTGTTTTTTTTGTTCTTCCCAAGTCGAGTTGGTTTCTTGCCTGTGACCCTAAGTGTTGAGTGAAACCCTCCCTGTCCCTGCCTCAGCCCACCAGTGTTTAACAAAAACTGTCCCTGTGGCTTTCTAAACCATGACAATACACAAGGGCTACCTATATTTATATATACACTTGCTATATTATTATACTTACTGTACGATATCACTACTTACTTTAGGGGTGCTTCGATTGTATGTTTGTAAAATAGTATTTGTACACAATCTGATCCTCACTTTTTCCCTGTGGATGCACGCATTACTCTTCAAGGTACATTTTCATTCAGTAGTAATTGAAATAAAAGTATTGAAATAAACATCCTTTTATATTATTATTTTGAACACAGATGTAAGAGCAATGAAGTCTGTAAAAATTATTAGAGAGCAGCACTTTCTGTTTATTGATAATGTTCCTGATTCCTCAACCATAGTGAAATGTACATGACTGTAAATTAGATTGATGTCCTGAATTGTTCCCTTGTTTTGTCTCTAGTACTTACTAAAAATCCTTAATCAATAAAGTAAGTAAAGTAAGTAAAATTTGTCCATAAGTATCACTCAAAAAAAAAAAAAATCACAGTATTACTTTTTCTAATAGAAAGGCAATAGCTGGGTCTCTATTAATTGATAGCTTATACTTCACAGTAACAGGAGTTGAGCAATCACCAGCTCCCTCTTTCTGAGTGATTCATTTCTCAACAGCAGACTTAGGGCATATTGATGAGATCTGTGCAAAGAAGCACTTCAAAATTTTCAGCTCTCAAACTCATTTTTCTGCAGATTTCAGTGCCTTCCTTTTTGTATAAAGTGATTCTTTTTTAAAGTCTCTCTAATCTCAACTAAATTTTGAGGAAAACATCTCTCATTCCTTCCTGACAACTCTTAATTACTTTGTAAAGCTTGTTTTTGGGTTGGGGAAGAAAGTTCTGCTATTTTAGCAGCAAAAGGGGGGGAAAGATCACACCAGTGTAAAGGATCATGGCAAAATTTTATTGCAGTGTGGTTTTTTCAGATGCTTTTGTTAAATCTCTACTGTTAAAATGTGGGTGGGGTAATTTCTTTACTTTTAATAGAATTTCCCTCTGGATACTTTTCGGTCATCTGAAATAAAAATGGTTTATACCTGAAGCTCAAAAAAGTACTTCTGAAAAGCAAATCATTCTGTTTGGGAATGTGACCTTTAAGAACCAGTTTTCTCTGCAATAACACTACACTTATAAAGAACTCATAGCAGAATTGGAATTTTAATCATAAGCCTTCCCTTTTAAATTCTGGGTAGACTAATGCTGTACCAAGAACAAACATCAGAGAAGCAAAATCTGAGACCAGATTAGCTGAAAAATGGCTTCGTGGAAAATTTGTTGTGATAATTTTTGGCCTAGGAACTTTGAGAGCTCCCTTACTGTTTTCTTGGCTATATTACAATAGGGATAATTATAATAAAATTCTTCCTGACTTTAAATTGCTTGTAGTGCTTTCCTGTTTCTAACCTACTATGCAGTACTGCTGTCTGTTGCTATGCAGCTGCAGGGTCTTGTCCCAGTGATGTTAGAGTTTCAGTGAGGGGGAGATAATGATCTAACTACTTATCCACTCTGCATTGTGCTAGAAGAAATGAATAAAAAATGTTTAAATTAGGTGTAGGATACAGAGCTTGACTTTGATTCTGTTTCTTTTTTACATAGTCAGTAGTGGCCTCCTCCTCCCTGCAAAGGCAAAGGAGGCGTGTGCAGAAGTGTCAATAGCAGAACCAAAGTGGCTGAGGCCATTGAGTTTCCATCATTGCATGAAGTGCTGATTATATTTAAGACATGGGTTAGTACAGGGAATCCCCACAGGTAATTGGGACACAGATCCTAAAAGCTGCTCCCAATCTACTACCCTGCTATTTCTTTTTTTGGAGGGGTAGAATATAGTAAGTTTTCATACTTTCAGTTGTGAATTTTTTTTCTGTTCTGCACCTTTTTGGCTGTAGCAGCAAAAGTACAAACCTTTAGAAATGTTTTGTTTGCTTTGGGCAGCAAGCTACTGCTTTTTGTAGCACATTTATCTGTATTTTTAGATGCCTGGCCCTTCTCACAAAGACTGACTTTTTCCGGTGTTGACATGTAGAACATACATTGTTTTTCTACATCAAGCTGTCACAATAAGCGAGTATATTTGTAAGCTCAGTGAGGCTCCCTGTTCTGCTCTGCTACCCTCTTTCCCCAAAAGTAAGGTGGCCTTTGCATTTCAAGGCAGAAGTGGCCCTAGATCCTTGTTTACCGTTAGACATCTGTCTGCCCACATCTGAAGTACACTAATGAAAATATGTCAGGGTTTTATTATTAGTTGTACAGTTTAGGTTTTGCTTTTAAAGCCTCAGCTCACAGTGCTAAATGAATATGTGGGACAACCAGATTTTGGTTTTAAAATATATGTATTTTTAAAAAGGGTATATTTAAAAAGTACAAACTGAAATGTTTTGTTCCCATGGATGAACTGGTAAAATTAGAGAATTTGCATGAGAGCTGTCTAGGCCTTCTGAATTTTGACCTTAAAATCAGATAACATTGCAGCTATTTCCAGATGAGCTATGCTTTGATTTATGAACTTACAGAAATTAAACCAGAAGCATTCTGCTTGCAAATGGGAATGTCCATCTGGAGTTGTCATTCACATATTTGAATCACACATTTAGTTGGTAGGTGCCTTTCTGCAACACTAGTGCATTCAAATTAATAGGGACCTGAAGTTAGTGTATTCTTATGATTGTAGCAGAATGCATGACTTTCTACCAGTAATTAAGTTTAGACTTCTCCATCAGATATTGGACCCTTGGCATGCTGTTTTGTGCTTGACAGTTTTTTGTATTTCTGATCTGTTTAGCAGTAACATAGGGTTTAAAATGCATGGTAACTTTTATAAGACATTTTGGGTGCCCTGCTGCCTCAAGCTTAGGATTTCTAACATTCATTGGCTGTTACAGGATTTTCATGTGATAATGGATTCTCAGGACAGTACTTTTTACTTGAGATAGGATGAGAAATGCAAATGAACTTTTAAGGAGTGCTGAGGAGTGTGGATCAGCTTTCATTGAAAAGGCAGTTTGGGCAGGACCAGCAAGAACTACATACAGGGCAGATATCCATGTTATTCAAGCTTCTTTTTAGATCTCTGCCAGCAGGGCTCAAACCAAACCTGCTTTTCTGGACTGCAGTTCTGGAACCAAGCCTAATACAAATAACTAGGATGGTGACATTACCTGGTGATCAGAGAGCCACAAAATGGTTCTGTTTCATTCTTAGAGACAAATTCCTGGATACCAATGAAGGAATGTTTTAGATGAGAGCATTTACCCTCCAACTAATTTTCCCTAGGGGTTCTTCTGACTCTCTATTGGGAATTCAGGAGCCTTGTTATAAGAAGGACATTTTAAATTGCAGTATTTCAGGTCAAGTAGGGTATTAGTCAAAAAATCAAGTAGTCTGGCAAGAATTTTCTGTATGTATGTTGGATACTGTAAGTCTTAACAGAGGAAGAGAGTGCTGATGTAGTGAAAAGTTAATTGCTGGTAAAACACAATTAAGAACCCTTTTTTCCTTCAGGGGAAAGAAATGTCAAAGGGAAGCAAATGCGTTCCTCTTCTAGAAGTAGCAGCATAGACAGACGTTCCTTAATGACTCTGTAGCAGTTGAAAATGTTACACACTCTGGCTTCTTACCAGTCACCAGGAGGTTTATTGCCCCTCAGCTCAGTCAGCAGGGTAGAAAATATGAACATAACTGAATTCAGTGGAAAATCTGCCAGATAAAACCTACTTGATTTAGTTATTCAAGGAAGGATGTCTGACTTTTGCACAGAAATGTATGAGATATATGCACATATTTAGTTCTATTAGCTTCACTATATAGGTGGAAATTTACAGAAGAATTAGCAAGTGGCCTGGTGCATGTGTGAGGGCATAGACTGTTTATACTACTTCAGTGTTTTGCAGCATGGCTGTTTATTAAATCTTTTAACATTTCCTGGTTTATTTGCCGTTTAAAGAAAATGGCTTATCAATAGGTTTCGGAATGAAATATGATCAAATTCTAATGGCTTACTCTAGAAGCACCTATCACCTGAGCAACTGTAACAGAGCACTCCTGTTGTCTACTCATGTTTCTAGTTGAAATATGTTGCCTTTTTCACATAGTTTAAGCTAAGTTTATTGACCTTATTTACTGTGATGTGTTAACAGTACTCAGTAACCAATGCTTAGAGTGGCTCAGCTGATGTGCAGTTAGTTACTATGCTGCCACAGCTCTCCCGTGCGCTTGAGGCCTTTTGATCTGAGTTCTCTGGAGAGGTATTCAGTATTCTACAGAAATAAAGCAAAGTGGAACAACGTAAAAACTAGGATCATGCTTTTGGAACAACAATAGCTTTCCTTTGGGCAAGGAATATAAAAACTGGTTTCCATGTAGGCAAAGAGAAAGCATTTTTTTTTAATAAAGCTACTTAAATTATGTACTAACAAGACTAACAAAGTTAGCTATCAATATCCCCATGTACTTTACTTGATGATGTATTTGTTTTCATGATTTTTATGTACAAATTTCTATTGAGATTTCAAAGCTGGGATTATGTTTGTCTACCAACTGATAAAAATGTGGGAACTAAGATTTCTTAACTTGCCGTCACTATGTTTTCCTTCCAGAACTACAAAAGAATTCCTGCATTATAAAATCCATGTGTAATGTCGTATAATTGTGTTGATCAACTAGTCAAAATCAGTATTAAAACTGCTATTTCTATTAGGAAGTAACCCAGCATCTTATTATTTGGATGGCTAGAAATTGTCGTTGAAATTAATTCAAGGTAGAAGAATGACATCTATATTTTGGAATTACTTTCTTACCATGCAGATTTGTCACTGACTATTAACAAGTTTGCAGAAAATCTGCCAGCCTTAGTAACTGACAACTCAAAGCTACTTTATAGTGGAAGGTATATACTAAATTCAAGTCAATTTTTCAAGGAACCCTAGTTAATGTTTATATACAAAATGTTGTTTCATTACTATGTGCATTACAGGCAACAGGTAATAAAGTATCTAGTGACTCATTAATTGCACAAAAGAAAATTGCAAGGTTATAGTTTTTCATGTTCTATCTTTTCTTCATGAATAATGTATGAAAGTACCCTTTTCCATGACACTATAACTGTACCTCTCTCCTCACATTTTCTTTAACCAGTATGTAGATGCCAGTATTTTACAATTGAGAAAATTATACTCAAGTTAGAAGTCAATGCCAACTCAGCTTAAGACATGCTCACTTAAATATTCTAAAGCTGTATATTTAGGCTTTGGAGCACTTCAGCTCAAATATCTTTTTTCCATCAAGTATCCTGTTATTTTTTTCCCTGAACTCATTAGTTCAGGCTTTATTAGGTAAAAGAATATGTTTTATTAAAACAGCTCTTACACAGAGGTAGAACTACCTGTGTTGCCACCTCTACAGTAAGATCTTAAAACATGTTAGCTGTCTTACTGTAATAATTAACTTGTTTTTCCTGCCTCTGCACAGCCAGACTGTCTCTATGTGGTGCTGAAGACCACTTAACCTGTGCTTTTAGTAGGAACAGGTAGGCATCAAGTTATTCTTGGATTAGGTTCAGTGTTGCTCCCCTTGACTATGTGTCCTAATGCGGGCCTAAAAAGACAAGCACATGTCTTTTCAACACAGTTACTGTATTTTGCAATTCTTTATAACTGTCTTGTAAGCTTAACATGCATGTTTACCTGTTTTGACACTGAACTCTTCATTTCAGTCTACTGTGGGCTTCTGATAACATTTTCTTTTCAAAACAATAGTAGCATACTTGTACAACAGCTTCAGTGAGAGGTCTTTGGTGTATGTCGTGGGTAGTGGAAGAAGCCTGCTTGGGGTAATAATTTGTCATATGAGAATTATTATTCTGCATTTTGTAGAAGAAAACAAAACATCAAAAGGTTTAAATCAATTGTTTGAGAAAGTTGCATATTGTCATCAGATGCTCTCTCGAATCTGTTAAAACGTCATTTCTGAGATTTATAGCTGTTACTGAAGTCAGGAAAAAAACCCCATTGCCTAAACACTTCTCAGAATTAAGACAAAAGGTGCTTGCAGTCAAGTAGTGCCTATCTTGCTGACCAAGCTAACTTGGCATATGGCATCCAGGAGTGCATCTTCAGTGGTGTTTGAGCCAGGAGTGCAAAATTTAATCCTCCTTACAAACTTTCCTTTCATTTACACCACAGAGTGATTTTGTTACACATGAACTGGATGTCAGGACTTCAGGTTTCACTTTACAGATCTGCTGCTACTGGTCCCCAGCACATGCTAATGCTAAAGGCAATGTGGCAGGTAGTCCTCCTGCAATGAAGGCTAGGTGAACCAGACTACAAATACAGAGTCAGTTACCTAAAGAAGGGGCCCTATTTCATTCCTCATATCAGAGAAAATTTCAGCCAAAAAGTGAAGAAAAATATTGTTTCTCACAGTATAACCTTCCTTCCCTATAAGGTTTTGCAGTTTATAGTTATCCCTTATAGTTGTCCCTAGTGAAAAAAACAATACCACAAAGAAACAACAACAAAAAAAAGATTAAAATGTAGGAGTAATTCTCTTTAAGCATTTAACACCTTGATAAATATAGTAACTGAATTCATGACTACCATTTACCTGACACTTTAACTTCCTATTATTTTCTTATTCTATAGGTGATATATGCCCTGAACACTAAGAATGATGAACATGAGGCTAGTATACAGGCTCTGAGAGAGGCTCATGAAGAAGAAATTCAGCACATTCTTGCTGAGACAAGGGAAACGATTCTCCAGTGTAAAAGCAAAGTTGAAGAAGAACAATTGCTGAGAAAACGTATTCAGGCCCTTGAAATTGCAGTAGAACAACACAAGAGACTAAAGGAAGAAGCCTTGGCGGAGTTAATGTTGTGCAAAAAGCAGGTGGAAGAGAGGGAGCCGAGAACAGAAGCAAAACAAGCACAGATGGTCCTTTCTACAGAGGTGGTAAATACCAATGCAGACTTTGAAAACAGGCTTCTACGTTTAAATCAGGAGTCTGATGGACTGTTAAATGAATGCAAAGCATCTAGGAGAGCAAATTTAGATAAAAAAGTAATTTTAGATGAAAAATGCAGTGTGGAAGGACAAGTTCTAATAAATGCAATGGAAAACCTGAAGAGTGAGAACCAGAGTGCAACTGAAGAATATACTCAGAAAACAAGCAAACTGCAAGTCTCTTATGAGAGAGTAAAAGAAGATTTGAAAAATGCTATGCATCAATCTATGATAGAAAAAAAGAAGAATTGTCAGCAAAGAGAAATGGAGCAAAGGAAGAGCTCAGAGACTGAGGAACGGTTTTTGCTGGAGCAGGTAAAGAAGCTGGAAGCAGACCTAGAACAGAAAAGCCAGAAGATAAACGAGAGGAAGAAGCATTCCCAGAAGCTGAAGGAGAGAATACAGGTAGAGTATGAGACTGTGATCCCTATCTCTGCCTATAAAAGTGCAAATTACCAATTCTTCAAAATTCAGGGGAGGAGGGTTTTTTAAAATATCATATTGAGTCAAATGCTTTGTAAGCACTAAAGCAGTTGTAGAGGCCTAGAAGAGAAATGTGAGGGATATAGTGCTGAGAGTTTTAAAGAAGGAGTTAAGATGATTAGTAACCTATTAGGAGAACTCTTTGAACACTAGAGTTTGTATTCCCTGAGGGAGGAGTGAAGTAAAATTTGTCTGTTGACTAAGCAGAGCTTTACCTTTCCTGCCCAGAAATGTGAAGAGAACAGCAAGCAGGAACAAATGCTAGCAATGAGTATTTACAGAGTACATTCTCCAGTTGTGGTTGCCAACAGCTCAGTGCATGGTTATGAACAGGGTTAGATAAGAGGCCTGAGCTGTTAGGTTAGGAATCAAGTTCTTTGTGTTGTATGACTCTTGCAATAATGGCTTGTACCGAGTGACATTTAATGATATGTCCTTTACACCTGAGAAATTATATGTGCTGAGACTTTCACCATTAGTTCTGACTTCACACTTTGCCTGTCTACCCTATCTGGTGTATATCTCATACATTTGCAGCACAGCTCTGCAGCCCCTTTCTGCTTAACTGCATCATGTGTCAGATGCATTTTCAGAGGCTGGCCCATCAGACGCAATCTGCCAACCAGCTGCATTTGGTACATAAGGTCAGGGTGTGAGAGAGACAGTAGTGAATTGTGCTGAACCTGAAGCACCCAGCCACACTCTGTGCTCAACAGTTCCACTTTCTTCTAATACTATTGGTCCTTCCCATCACATAAACTCACCTACCAGATGTGTCCTCAGCCCTATGACAGCAATCTTGTATATTAGATAAGAAAACACCTTGAAGGTCTAGACTTGGAGTATTTCAGAATAACAGTAATTTTTTCCTGATGGGAAAGAAGATTTATCTCCTTCAGAGTTAGAGAACCCCAGAATCCTGTAGAGAGAAGGGTCACCCCGGTCAGCTGTGTTTCTCCAAGACAGCTCTGACCCTTTTCACCATCTGCCCTCACATCTTGCCTGTCAGTATTATTTTGCTGATGGTACAGAGTTCTGGGCCTCTTTTTTGAGGATGTTCTTTGAGGGAGTTCAGCCTTCAATACAGTCATTGCCTTTTTGTTTCAACAAGATCAGAGGATGGATTGAATATCCCTTCCCCAACATTATTCAGACTCCATTATCTCAGTGTGTAGATCTGTAGCAGAACAACCTCTATCTTCTGCAGAAAAGTGGAAAGTATATAATGAAGGCAGAGATGCAGATAAGCCATTTTTTTAAATTGACTCAGTGAAATCCATGATATGTGTTTCAGTAAGGAAAAGTCGCCTGGCTCTGTAGAATTTTGAAGTGCTAAAGAGGAAGAGGGAAAGCAAGATCCTGATTTCTTGTGGGTACTTGAAGTAACATTCAGGAGAAATGAAGAATGGAGACATAAAAGTTCATGCACGTGGTTGACTCTTCTGACTTATAAGAAATCTTCTAGGAATAAATAATGTAAAATATGATAGGAACTGGAAATAAGAAGGTGGTGTCATTAGCAATTTAATTTCTAAATTCAATATCAGCTGAATAAAACTGAAATATTTTCTGAGGGACATATGCTCAACCTGTACATTTCAGACCCTCCAAGTCTATGGATTGAGGCTGATTTGCGTACCACCAGAGCATGTTGCCTTGAATCTTTAAAGAGATAGCCTCAGACTAGGATAAATCCAGAAGAAGGAAAACAGCTAGACACAATGTTATTTTATGGTTCTTTCCAGTTTAACAATAAAAAGGTAGAAATTTCTACTTTCTAAATTGGCTGTTTCTGATGTAAATGCAACTTTTTTTTCATAATTTTGTGGACAATGGCAGACTGGGAAACAGAAACATTTATTTAATCTGTAATACCTCTGATCATTAGCAAATACTAGAAAGAAAAGCTATTACAAAGCTTGAAAGATAAAAGGACTGATGTTTAAGCAAGATGAATTTTCTATTTTCTCCTTAGTGTATGCCAAGAGGTTTGAGACCTTTAGATGAAAAAGGCATCACATTAGCGCACATTTATTATTGTTACTGTGGAAGAAAGAATACAAAGGATGACAAGTCATTAAGTCTGATATGTTCAGTCTAGTTTTGGAAGAATTTTGGCATATGCCAGAGGTAAGATGAACAAGCTTACCTTTAGGTTTTCAACTACAGAGAGTGTTAAAGGCAAGGTAGTTTTAACCCATGAAGTTTTACTCGACATTCATATAGGAACACATGGCAATTTTGTCTGAGTGAATATTGCAGTATTATGTTAGACATCTTGAAACTGAGACTAGAACCTCCAGAAACAGACCATTAAATATGGTTCAAATTTTTGCCTTTAGTTATGGCCAGACAATTCCCAGCAAACTCTGTGGAGCCTATTTTTCTAGTTTTAGGCGTCTGTATTATGGATTATGTTACAAACTATTGTACTTCAGCAAGTGGAAAAAAACCCAAACTAATATTCATTAACTTTTAGCACAAGTTGTGAAATTAATGGGAGTATATCCTGTTCCAAGTTTAGGATAATCTCAGACATCTTTTAGATGATAACTCTTGATGAGTGTTGACTTTACAATGATGCCTACATCTGAGGGAATGGCTCCACATTACAAATATCCTGGCATCAGAGACAGTTTAAGGGTATGGAAAAGCAAAATATGCATTTAAACCAGCTCTGTAGGTGGAAGATTTGTATCATGAAATTGTACCAAGAGAGAAAATGACCATTTATTTCAAATGACAAAAAAAGAACTTATGTAATAAACGTAGAATTAATGCCATGCATATTTTAGGATTTGGAAGTGTAGTTTAAGGGAACACAACAAGAAATTCTGTGATCAAAAGGTATAATGAAGAAAGTGGTGGAATATCTAAGTGTAGTCAGAGAGAAATACACTTCAAGAGAGGGGAAAAAGCAGGTAAGATGCTCATTAATGCCATTCTGAAGTATTTCCCGTATTAGTAGTCACTCACATTGGAAATTCCACAAGTTATTTATGCTATTTGATATGTAAATTTTGGTACCACAGAAGATATGGAAATTACATTGAATTCCCAAAGCAAAGCTATTAATGAAGTAGATGAACTGAAACATCAAATAACACAGCTGCAGCAAATGACTTCTACCAAACAGAGCCAGAGCAAGAGCAGCTCTGAAGATGTGAAAGAGCTTGAACAGGTGGTTTGTTCTCAGATATTCAAAGGCATGGCATACCAAAACCAATAGCATTTTTCTTTTAAGACGGCTTTTGGGTTATTCTACAGCAGTCAATCCTGTAAGACTCCTACATCTCTGACCTCATCCAGTAGAACACTGACTCATGTTCGTAACCTGAAGTACATGAGTTGCTGAAATGACAGCAAAGAAACTAGTGACATCCTTGAGCTAGACCAAGGCAGAGTGTTCAACCTATTCTGTAACCAAAAGCTTAAAGAGAACAAGGTCCAAGGCAGACTTTCTCTGTTGAGGTCAAGCTGGAATGCTGATATATTTTTTTTTTTTTTAAATATAGAAAACAGTTCTTCTGAAAAGCTATGCAGAAATAATACCAGGAATAAACTCAGTGCAATGAGGAGTGTATGTATCCTGAGAGTTCCTTCTGTACAGTGTCTCCACTTAAACAATTGTCCAGCCCCAGATCTTTTCTATATTTTTTAGTTCTCCTAGAATATTGTTATGCCAGCATTTTGGAAAATTAGACCTGGCATCAGAGACATAACAAAATCCAAATTGTCCTTTGTGCTTTTTTCACAGAGCTAAGGTTGTCCTTGAGGAAGCCTGCATGGTTGAAAGTGAGTCACACATCCAAACGCAAACCAGAATAGCAAAAAAACCCCATCCATAGACTGCAGAAGAGGCACACAGCCCTGAATCATTACAGTTCTACATTGCTGACTAACAAAAAGCCAGTATTTTTCAGTTGAGTATGTCCACCTAAATACTGTACTCCCTACAAAATCGACTACTGCAACCCCATAATTCTACCATGGTTTTGTTGTATTATACAGCTATTGTGTTTTATAGACCATGGAAACTGTAGCTATTTAAAAAGAAGGTATGAATAAAAGACACAGAGAACTTGCTTTGTAAAGGCAAGCATCAGTCCCATAAGGAAAAGATTTGTCTGAAGGAATATCTATTAAAAGGGCTGTAAGATCTTGTAATGAAGCATACAAAGGAAACCAAGCCAGTCTAAAACTTAATGGAAGCTGAAAGAAAAAAAATGCAGAAGGTAGAAATGTTCTTCTATTTATAGATGCTCTAATTCATCTGGCTTTAATCTTATTGGTCACAGTGACATCACTTGAATTATCCTCACTGGAGGCACTTTGAATTAACATAAAATACAAGGATTTTCTCGCTATGGTCTTACTGAAAAAAGAAGTGAGGAGGGGAGAAGAAGTCAAGCTGACGTATTTCTGTGAAAAGCTCCACAGGCAGGAAGGTGAATTTATCCTTGATGTGATAAACTGCCTTCTTAGCAACACTTATCCTTACATGGTTTGCATGACAGTTGGAGTGATTAATATAAGGTGCCTCCTGAAGAAAAATGTATTATAGCTGTATTCCAATTTCCAACGTAAATTTACATGGATTTATGCTGTGAAATACATCAAAATTCAGCATTTTTTATGCAGAGGATCTAATTCTGCATAATGTTGGTAAATGGATTCAGAGTGCAGGTGTTACCAATGTAATGATGAGAAGTTACAAACAAATGCATGCATATATGTGTCCTTCCTTGAGTCAGAAAGAACACTCATCTTCTTGTGTATCCAGACAGATTATCTGAGCAATATCTTAATGTGTTTTAAGTGGCTGAGCTGTAATTTTTGCTGTTGGTATGCATTAGCAGCGATTGGCTTAAGAGATTCTTCAAATAATTTTACTTTCATGAGAACTGCTGTCTGTGGCTTAATCCTCTGGCTCCAGGAAATTTGCAATCTGTAATGTTTCTGTGCAGTAGGAACCTAAATGTGAGCTGAAACCTGTTCAAATGGAGGAAAACGTTGAAATGCATGTTTAGTTTTAAGCCCACCCTTTAAAGCTTAGTGAAGTTACAACTCAGTGCATGCCCAAGTAGTCTGACAAATTTGGGCATAAGTTAAGAAGGAATTTAGTTTCTGTCTCCTAATGTCCTTTTGTGTTTGTCAGACATCTTCTAGACAGAGAAAAAAAAATTATTAGAGCAATTTGTAGAACTGGACAGTCAGACTACTGGTCAAGTGTTCTTTAGACCCTTCTTGGTGCTAAGAATGTACTTCTACCCATTTTTCCCAGTTTTAATGCTGTGATACCTTCCCAACCTCAACATTTACTTGAGAATAATCAAATTGCTTACTGACAAGTTGTGAAGTTATAAAAAGCATGCAGCATCTATCACTGGATGTTGAGCTTCATACTACCGTCTAGATTTTGGAGACTAGGAATTGTGTTGAGTGCTCATCAAGAAGAATTAATTTCTGTCTGTGAAACTGATGGAGTTTATAAACTTATGCAATATCATTTCTCAAAAAGGAACCTGAGTGAGTAAATTATTTTATCTGATTGTGAAAGTGCTCACATTTGATCAGGACGTGAAGACATAGTTCTTCAAGGTACACAGTTACACTATCAAGTATCAGCCTTATACAAATGTCTTTGCCTTTTATGTAGTGTATTCTTTTATGTAATAAGTTTGTACAGGTATACTTAAAATGATGCTGAGCTGAAGCTCTTCATGTGAGTCAGATAAAACTTAAATATGACACACTTTATACTTCAATAAAAAAGGCATAATAGTAGGTGTTTATTGCTTACAGGCAATAAATATTATTGCTTAAAACCCTCTCTTCTTAGAGATTCATATTAATTAAATCAGAAAAATCTTGAGTTAGTAGAACTCAAGTAAAATTACACTAATGCTATTTATATCCTCTGATGCAATTAAGGCCTGTAACAGCTGCTTGAGAAGTATTATATCTGTTTTCCATCCAGAAAAATTAAGATACAGAGAAGGAAGTCAGTTGTCAGAGTTGCAGTGGGAATGCTGCAAACACCTGATCTTTGAGTTTTAGTCAAAAAGACCATTATATTCTCTTCTTTTCTTACAGGTGAATCTTAAAAGCTAATTTCTCTTTTGAAATACTCTTGACTGTGTTTCTGCCCTTTAATTGCCACCTAACAGTTATCCTGTTTTTAAACTGTGAAATGTTAATGTATTCTCCTTAATTTATGAGTCGCAAGGAATACGTCACTTGACTATGCTTCTGTTTCCTAATATCATGCTGTCCTCCCAGTGATTATCACTTTCTTAGTTTTTAGATTCTTTTTCTGTTATCTTGAATTCTTAAGTCATTGTGCTATAAAAAGGGGGTAAGGGGGCTGTGAGAAGGGGCTATACGGGATGGGGGAGGTGTTAAATTGCTATTTTTTCTCTATTTCCTCCAGTTGTGGTGTCTGAAAATATGGTAGAATATTTTCCTAAGTCAGCAAATTGGCACAAATAGGGAAGAGCAAGCACACTAAAAAGCTTGCAATATGTATCACTTCAGAACATTCCTAGAAGTTGCACATTCAGTCTTTCTACAATAAATGATTGCTCGCATTTGCTGCAAACAATTGCTACAAGCTCTTGGTCACTGTCTTGCAAGTGGTATTATCATTGATTTTTCAAAAACTATTTCCAGCAATAAGGTGTTAATAAAGTCTTCAATATTTTATTTTATTTTATCTTATTTTATTTTTACTTCCACACTGGGATTTTCTTTATGGATGCTGTAAGCTAAACTTCCTTTGATTCCTTTTCCACTAGTTGTCCATTAGTTAGTCATCTGGTTATTTATATGGTCAATGTATATTTACATTTTTTCAGATCTTGTGGGTGACTCTTGCGTACTAAATTGTTGTTGAGCACTAACACCACTCAAGGCAAAACAGGCTGACTCTTTATGCTGTACAGTTTTCTCCCTCAGGGAAGCTTTCAGCAGAAGATTGGGATTATGTGAGCTGTATTGTCTAACACTAGTATTAGGAAGAACCAAACCAAACTGTTAATACTTACTTGATTAAATAATACATGAGTGACATAAAAAGACAGTAGCATGTATTATTGTGTAAACAGTAGCAGGTATCACTGTATAAACTGCTCTATTATCTAGGTTAATGTAGAAGAAATGTTCTTTCATTTTCATGCTACGTGTTTTGTCCCAGCGATTGCGTGGTCTTTTTTTGTCTTTTTTTTTTTTTTTTTAACTTTAGGAGCTCCAGACACAGCTAGAGGAATTTAAAAGAAAATCTGAGTGTGAACTAAAGCAACTAGAGAAAGAGAAAGAAGTCCTAGCTGGGAAACTTCAAAACTCTTCACTTGAGGTAAACTGGGTATAAATATAATCCAGTAATAAAAGGGCTCTTCATTTTTCCTCTCAGCTGAGAGATTCTTGATCAGATTTTAATTGTATCTGCTGTGACTATTGTTCCAGAAAATATGTAAGGACTCTAGATAGAAATAACAGAAATTACTGCTCCTGAACACTTATGAAGATTTTGACAAGCCTGTTTATTTTGATAAATTTTATATATCTCTCTTTGGAGATATAATAAGGCTTTTTGGTGAGGAGTTTGGCTATATATCTGATTGGATGGCAACTCTGACTGTTCGTTTACAGGGCTGAGATTAGAATCTTCCTTACAGCTCTTGTTGACTTTCTTCTTCTTTTTTGTGTTTGTAGACATGTAAAAGGGCCTGCTTGCTTGCTCACTTGAGCAAGAGAATTAAATGGAAAAAAGGCTGAATAGATCATTGTTTCTGTTTTGAAATAATGTGCAATAATTTAGTATATATTAGCAGTTAGGTATGCGTCCTTCTATGTTCTCAAGATCAAGAATGAAATAAAGAAAGCATTGTGACCCCAGCTAGCTTTGAGGATGTCATAGTTTGTGTGCTGTTCTGCACTCTGGTTACACGTAAGTCATAATGCAAATCTGCAGACATGGATTAATCTGGAAATAAATACCTGAGATGTGTTCGTATTAGATTATCCACCTGTAACAGCTGTGTTGTGTAGTCAGTTGCAGGCCAAGTGATGCAAATTTTCCAGATCAGCACATTACCAAAATATTTATACAGGAAGTTGTCATTATTTGAAAAGCCATAACAGGTTGGATAAATAATTTTCTGCCAAAACAAAAGCAGAACCCCTATAAGGCAATTATTTACTCATGTAAGCAGTTCACCTTTAACATTTCTGACAACTGTGAATACACATTTTCTCCCTCTCATGTGTTCTCCTTTTGTGTTGTTCAGTTCTTTTCAGCAAATGCTAGCCGCTTTAAAATGTTACATACAGGATATTTCCTTTTCTTCAGTGTGATCTTGTGAAATTTTTGCCTGTGAACATTTTAATACTTTTATCTCATGGATAAACTATGAAACAACTGCTTTAACTGAACTGAAATCAGTGCCCTAGTGAAAGGTTCTGATGATGCTCAGTGCTACATTTATTTTTCTGCCCCAAGTGCATCATTGCATTGATGAGTTGTCAAATTAATTTTCTTGAAGTCACACATTCAGGACAGAATAATATCTTAGAATCTAAAAATGCTCCCAAAAGGAAGGAAATGCTCCCTCTGAAAATAAATTTTGCATTTTTCTTGATACTCTGTAAGTTACTTTCTGAACCAATTATGTGGCAGTATTGCCAGGGAAGTGAACTAATTTCAACTTGCAATACTTTCCTTCTATAAATATGTGAATATTCATAGCCAAGAAGCCACCATTTACTATACAACATTATGTTTCACTGAGGGCATGATTCCCATCTGGGAACCTTTGCAATGGCTCAGCCCAGAGCTTCCGCCTCAAAGGTTAGGCAATGTGCTGTCACTAATCCAGTTCTAACCTGGATATAATTTCAGATCTAAAAATAGCTTCCTTGGCTGCATAAGGCACATTTTTGGTTGGGCTGACAGCTAGAACACTGTGCAGAGTAGGCAGAATCATGATAATTTCATCTCTCTGGGGATGCACTTCAAAGTGGCCGTAGTTCTGTGTTGCTAATATTTTCCTGGATAAAGAAATCAGATTCACACCTGTTTTGTCCTTTGGAAGGAAGGATGTGAGATTCTGTGTGAGTCGAATGCTAATTCATTAGGAGTTGTCCAGTTCCTTGCTTTTGCACTATAGAATATCTTCAACGTATTAAGAGTGCTGTTCTGGAATTAGAAGGTACATAAAATGGAAGCACAGGCATCACCTTGTCATGATGTATCTTTGAACAATGGTAGCATAGCAATGCCCAAAGCCTTGATGGAGATCTTGTAGGTACCACCAAAGAGCAGCAGTAGAGATGTGTCCCTCTGGTCAGGAATTGTGGTAAGTTTAGGAAGGCAGTTAACTGTGACCTTAACTGAAGTAACTAGGAAATAAGCCTAAAGACAACAGTAAAATATAATTTAATTATTTTGTTGTTACTTCTTATACCACAGTACTGTTTTGATCTAATAACATCATAGGATGAGTAAAACCCTGTAGCATTGGGGTGCCGTATTTTAACTATCTGAACAAACTCTCAATTGTGGTGACTTTTCTATAATACATCAAAAGGCAGTTTTAAGTCTTTTATATAAATTCATCCCCTGGCAATGCACCGAGAAACTTGTATCTTTCTACTTAAAAGATACAGGAAGTCAAAATATTCTTTCTGATTCCAACTTTAGATCTTGCCTTTGAGATTTCACACTTCTTACGTACAATAAATAAAAGAAAGGGAGAGCAGTAGACTTCAAATATTCATAGTGCTTGCAAGCACAGTGAATTAAAATAATCAAAGCAGATGTCAAACGGAGGAGCCAACTGTGATGGCCCACATAGCCTTATACTTGCCCAGTATTTCTGCCCATGGGCTATCAAAGTCTGAGAGGTACTTCTTCAAAAGAATCAAGTCATACTTCCCAGGAAAAGGACAGTAATTATGGTTAGAAAAGTATGAAACTTGAAAGACTTTTGAAATATTTCAAAACTTTTCTGTCATCTCTTAGTAACAGTTGTTCATTTTTTTCTTTACTTGGAAGACAGTGAGAGGCAAAATCAGCTGTCATAAGAAAGGGCAAGTGCAAACATAACTCTGAAATTTGAAAATAATTCAGCAGAGCCTAGAAAAATACTGTTGCCTGGAGTTCATACTGTGGATAGGTATTAGTTGCATCTTTAAGACCACTTTATGCAATTCTGGTGGACAAAAGTTAATTAATAATGGTATTAGAGGTACAGATTTTTCAAGAGGTTTTTCTTTGCAGCAGGAAGACATTATAAAAGAAAGTTGCTGGTCTGTTAATAGTAAAAGGGGCCAAATAGGTACTGGACTGGTGTGAATTGGCATAGTTTCATTGCCTTAAATATTGCTTTACCAATTTTACAAATTGAGGGTCTGGCTATCTGTTTTGAAGTAATGAAACATAATAAAATGCCTGAGCACTGCGAAATATTCTGGAGAATTATTTGCACTGGTGGATTTGAAAGCCCTTTTAACAGAAAGACAGGAGGAGGAAACCTGATGGTATGGAAATGTTTGTTTCTTAACCTGTGCTCCCTCCCAGCTTCTCCTGTTTGCGTACAGCCAGAGAAGCTGAAAGACCTTGACAGCCACATAAACCTCACTTTTTATCTGCTTTCTTCTGAGCACAAATCCAAATCACAGCCTCTTGCTAGCTATTATGAAGAAAGTTACCTCTGTCTCAGCTTAACCCAGGACAGGCCCTTCCTGAGCAAGCTGTTGGAAGAGGTTCAGAGGGAAACTGAAGTACAAGATCAGTGATCATCGTTAATGACCATGTTTTGTGTGGTGGGTTTGTCTGGTAGCAGGGAGGGGCCACAGTAATGGCTCCTGTAAGTAGCTGCTAAAGGTTTCCCTGGACTCCAGCTCTGCTGGCAGCACGGGAGGGGCTGCAGTGGTGGCCCCTGTGAGTGACTGATAAGAGTTCCCCTAGCTCAGGGGCTACAGTGGTGGCTCCTGTAAGTGACTGCTAAGGGTTCACCCCCACCCCCGGCTTCAATAAACAGAAGGGGGAGTGTAGGAAGGAGTACCACTGACCTAGGCCCTGTGAGAAAGGACTGGAAGTTTCCCCAGCTGCAGGCTGGACACCCCAGGCCAGGACTGAGCCAATCGGTGCCTCTGCAAATAACATATTTAAGAGGGGGCACGGAACAATGGGGTTGGTGTGGCCCGGGGCAGGACCCAGCTGCCCAGCTACCTGCTTGGCTTTTACGAACCGACCTGCTGTAGCCCAAGCCTCTGCCATGGCTCGCCCGAGAGCCAGTTTCCTCAGGAGCCGATGAAGACATACGGTGGAGAGAGAAGTGAGATTTTGAGAGGAAGGACCACACGACACTCCGGTCAGAGAAGGGAAGCAAGAAAGGAGAGAAAGCGCCTCCCAAATTTCCCCTGCAGCGTGGTGAAGATTCATGGTGACGCACGGTTTGTCCCTTGGTGCAGCCCATGAGAAGATGCAGTCGTGGAGGACCCCACGTAGGAATTACGGAGAAGCCCATGCCAGAGCCGGGCAGTCGTCGGGGGACTGTGGCCCCATGTGGAAAAGGACTCAGGCTGGAGAAGTTCTGGAGAAGGACTCCCCCATGAGAAGGGACCCCACACTGGAGCCGGGAAAGACTGTGAGGAGCTCTCCCCTGAGGAGGAAGGAGTGGTGGACTTACTGCACCCCCAATCCCTGTCCCCCTGTGCCGCTGGGGAGGGGAAGGTAGAGAACAAAGCCTTTGGGCTTTGGGAAGAAGGGCGGGGTGGGGAAGAAGTGCCTTTTTAAGATGTAGTTTCTCTCTCACAGTATCTTGCTTCTTGTTGTAAATAGTTAATAAATTCTATCTTTTTTTGTTCTTCCCAAGTCACATCAGTTTCTTGCCCGTGACCCTAAGTGGTGAGTGAAACCCTCCCTGTCCCTGCCTCAGCCCACCAGGTGTTTAACAAAAACTGTCCCTGTGGCTTTCTAAACCATGACAGACCACCACCAATTAACTGGAGAAAAGGAACCTGACTTGTGGATTTGAAGTGAAGGATAAACTCTATTTAAATGGAAGGAACACAGTATACTGATTTGTGTATAGGAACAGCAGCTCTGCAGCCATAAACCTACTCAAAAATGGACCAGGAATTCCTTCTTGTGGCAGCTTAGAGAGGTACAGAAACCAGACTTGGTAAAGGAAGTTACATAGTTCTCGTAAGGTGTGTTTATTCATGTTTGAGTTATCTCCACAGCACATGAAGTCCATGAACGTTCATGTTTCACATGAATCGTGCTTACATTTAAATAAATAATCTTCATCTTATATTCTGTGAACGCAAACCTTTTACTTAAACTGATAAACTACCAGCAGACCAAATAGAGGAAGTTTTTACAATGTTTTTGGGCCCTTATTTAGTTGCTCTGTAGAAAAAAACAATTAAACTAGGACAAATTGATCAAGTAGAGGGAATCATTCTGAGTTGTGGGTGTCTCCAAAAAAAAGGTTCACATTCCTTTTTCTTTTTTAATATCAGATTATAAAATTATTAATATTTAATTATCTTCTTTAACATCTTCTTTAATATCAAATTGAACCTTCAGAACACAGTTCTGTGCTGGGAACCTGTAAGAATAGTAGTGGCTTAGAGAGTACTTGAATAAGGGCTGTGATCCATCTGGGAAGGGAGAAGGGCTTCAGGAGAGGGAAAGGAGGAAACACATACTTTGGAGGAGAAAAGCCAGCAAGCTCAACCAATATGAGAAAGAACAGAGCCGTGAGCTAGCAGGATTACACTTAGCCATCATCAGAAAGGATTCCTATGGTTTAGAGAGAACTGGTGTAACTCATTTGTATGTCCCTTTGGACAGTGCAGTGCTGTGGCCATGAAGTTAGTGAGAAGTAAGGGCTTTGCACAGCATGTCTCCTCCTCCCTTATTACGAAATAATACCAGAAGGTACTATGAGAATGAAATGTGGAAGGACATGTTAGCCCACTTAGTAAATCTTCATCCAGCTTCTGTGGTGCTTCATCAGGAAGGATAACAAGTGTGCAGTTGAAGTTACAAGCAACTATTTGGCTAGCTAAAGCTACAGTGCTTCCTCGGCTGACAAACTGTCTGCAGTATGCATGGAAAAAAAATGAAGGCAACACTGAAGAAGAGAAAAATAACATATGTTAGTGTAGAGGAAAGAATAGGATGGAGTCACAGGCTATAATATGCATCACATCCAATTTGCAGGTGTGTGTAACATCATTTGAATAATTTAAAGTCACCTGAAGTTCTAAGAAAGCCAACTTCTACCTTTCATAGTGTGAATTCTGTTTCTCTAAGGCTGGAAAGTACAAGTGTATAAAAATTAGAAAACAGACCATCCTCCAACCTCTTTCATATGCTCCCAAAAGAAAAGGCAAGAGACATAATGGTTTTGCAGGAGGCGTGGCAAAGCAAAAAAGCAGATTTAGAAGTCAGATACAGCAGAAAAAATTATAATTTGCCTTACTAATTATGCATGTTTCTTCAATGCTGAAGGCAATTTTTCAGACTTTCACAGCTATGATGTTAGGAATGGCAATTTTAAGAAGGGCAAATACAAATTTTTTGCTGAAAGCTTAGAAAACCTACCAAATAGGAAAGAAGAGACTCCTTCTTCCCTCCCTGCCAAAAAAATACCCCACAAAGTTATTCTTATAAATGGGTATTTTTTTGTTAGTTTTGTGTCAGCCATTATAGACATGTCTACTATATTTCATAATTAAGCTAAGAGAAGGGAGAAAATTAAACAAATCTGAAGCATGATGTGCAGAATTCTTGTTTCCATTGGTTCTTATCTACTGCTTTATATAAATGGACTCTGTAGTGTTACATCACCAGGATGACAACAGGCACAGCCTTGGGCCCGGCTCCTGGCTTGTGCCGTAATTATTACGCAAGTTGAACTATGGATTGTACGTATGAGTTGGAGGCGATTTGAAAATAACTAATTTAAAGTACTTGATAGGCAACAGAGAGTATATGCAAAAGGGATGTCATTCTTCACTGAAAAAATGGCTTCTTGCATGAAACAAGCATCTTGCTATTTTTCACAGAGCAACACAAGTTCATAAAATGTACTCAAATTTGCATAATTCCTCTCCATTGTGAATGCAGCCATTAATCCTCTCCTGCTGGCTTACTTTTCTGGAAGGTGGCTAAGCTGAAGCAAATATTAGATCAACAAGCAAATAATTTCAAGGAATCACTGAAGAAACATGATCTACAATCCAGCAAAGAAAAAGAGAAGCTTTTGCAGGATCTTCAAAACATCATTAAAGAAAACCAGAATGTTAAACTGCAGCTGGAGACATCACATCAAAAAGTCTTAAAAATGTTGGAGAAAAGCAAAAATCAGGAACTCAAGGTCAGTTTACAATATTAAAAAAGTGTAAAAAAAAATGTATTTGTGGGATAAACCATATTAGCTAGAGCAGATTTATCAAAAGTCAATTATCTCCAGTTATCTGAATGATGGGTTGCCATTGTTGCAAATAATTATTCTCTGATTTTGAAACCTCATAATCTTCAAATTTATTTTTTTTTTATTTTGACATTTGAACTTAGATCACAGCGTGAATGAAATTGTTTCATAAAATAATATAGCCTACCCTCTACAGTTGGGCTGTAATGAATACAAGCTCCTCTGGCTGTGCTCTTGCTTCAGAAATACAAGGGAATTCCTTAGTGCATTATTAATAGGACTCAGTTTTATTCTTTGTCATCCATTATTAATTTATACATAAATACTTTAAAAGAAGCATAGTAGACGTGAATAATGATGTGTATTGCCTTAGATACCTTCAAGAAATCAATTCTGTAAGTGGATAACCAAAGCTCTTAGAGGTTCAAGTGGATTTATTTCTGTGACATAATGTTAATGCAATATATTGAGGTTCTAAGGAACGCTGCTGTTTAAGAAGGAAAAACAACTTAAAAAATCTCCGTGTGATTGTGACATGGAGTTCAGATGTCCCTGTTGATACCATACAACTTAGGAAAAACCTGTTTATAAAACATACATAGTAAAAACCACCCTAAGTAGAATTTAGTATCTTGTTTCTATATACAGAATAACATCTCAGCTTTAACAAAACAAAGCAGAAGGGAGTAAGCTGGTAAAAATGAAACTGAGGATAGGAGTTTGCTTCCAGAGCCACTACAGACCAACTGCTCCATCGTTTACAGTGTAACAGCAGCTCTTCTAGTAACAGTGCAAGTTTTAGCCAAGAACAATATAAGGAAAGACAGAGCCTTTGGCTGACATACTGTGATAAGTGATGACATACAGGTCAAATCTGGGGAGCTTTTTATGTTGAATAATAAAACATCTTTCTAATGCCAAATAGTGCTAAGATGTCAGTGTTATTATTTCATGATGTACAACAAATCTGATGATATCTTGATAATTTCTCTTGTCCCTATTTTTATTTTTTTAACTTCAGTTCATTTTTATTCTTGTGTTGATGAAGTGTCATGTAGAGTGGTCATGAAAATAAAAGTTCTACAATGAAAGACCAGATTCACCCTGGCATTATAAGAAATAGGCTCCAACTGCTTTGCTTTGTGGGGGATTGTTGCTTTTGCTTACAGGAGGCAGAAGAACGTTTGAAAAAGGAATTTAATGAGGCTTTCAAGATCCAACATCAGTCTCATAGGCTGGAAATACAAAATTTGGAAGAGAAAGCAAAGAAAGAATTGCACGATGAACTTGAGCAGATACAGAAGCAGCAAACCCTATTGCTAGGTATGTCTCATGTCATGCACAGCTCCTATGCCTTGATTATATGCTGAGAAGCACTGACTTTCCTCCCATTCATTTTCTTTCCCATCTTCTGGGGATCTTTGTGAATCTCCTTTTCCATATCCTTCAATTTCAGCAATACAGACTTAATATTCTTTGTTAGCTTAGCTCTCAGCTGTCAGAAGCAGAATGTTGCTGGGAGATGGTGTACAATATTCCAGTATGCATTATCAGGTATATTAAACTGGAATATTGTAGTTAGTGTATGTTACTTTCCTCTTTTTTTCTGTGATGTGAAGAATTATATGTGGTTTAAGTCTGTTCTGTTGAGTTCATCAGTGGAGATCAGTTGCTCCATATGTATTGTTTAGTCAGCTTAGAACGTTCCCTAAACTGTTCAGAACTAAACAGAATGCTGCATTAGGAGGACCTGTAATATCTCCAGGTTTGAACTCAGGTTATTAAAGCTCATCTGTAAAAGGTTTTTGATTAAAGAAAGAATAATTTGAAAGTACTTTTAAGTACAAACTGTATTCTCTTTTGGGGGTTTTTTTCAGTAATTCAAATGTGCTAGAAAGATTTGTTGCTCTCTAAAGTTTATATGATCAATAGATAAATTCTGTTCTTCTTTAAAAAAAAAAGTAGGGAGACGAGAGAGAAAAACTTCTTTCTCCTTGTACTTGATCCATCTCGAAACTTATACCAAATATGCACAAAAGTTGCAGTATATGATCTGCTTTACATGTGTTACACTTCTCTAACACAACCAGAGTTCTCCTCAGTCTGCCTTATGGCCCTCTATAAAACACCAGTGGAGTTAACAGGGAAGCTTGGGGTGCTCCAGTAAAGTTCAAGGTTAGAAGATGCAATTATAGTGATTTATTCTGCAAAACAACTGCCACAGAATTACCTCTCTGATTCCCGTGTTGAATCATTGCTATTGTAGCTCCACATCTTCTCACTATTGCTCAACTGGGTTACTTCTTTAGTAATAGGAAGCCATTATACTTAGTAACGAAGGAGTTGAGGAACAAAGCACAACGTAATGTATTAATGTTTTCATCTGCATTGTCTATATCTGCCTTCCCCATCCAGCTGGCCTCTGACTGCCTTAATGATTGTCTGTCTGAATTTTACCAGGATCTCTAAGGATGGAACTCTCTGAGCAACAGACATCATGCACGAATCTCAAGAAACAAATAGAAGAACTCCAAATGGAGCTGAGGAGTGTGAGGACCCTGAAGAAGCAACAGGCAAGAATCCAGTTCCTACTGTTGCCATGTTGTGTTTTGCAAAAGCAATAGTATAATTTTTTTCTCTTTAATAAAAGTGTACAGAGTCTCTTACAGAAATGGGATTGGTTTCGTTACTTTATGTACCATTTTAAAATGTTAGCATTGTTTATCATCTTTTCTCTATGGACCGACTTCTTTTCCATTTAAAGATCAGAATCTACAACACGAATGAATGAATGTTACAATAAAATAAATCTTATGCAGCCTGCAAAATATGTTCAGCAAGTTTCTATCACAAATTTTGCCTTGCACATAGAATTGCACATCTAATTGAAAAATCAGGTCACAAAAAAATCAATGCAAACAATCCCAGTGAGATCCTCATGTTAAATAATAAGTAGCTGTGAATAACTAAATTTGGCCTTTTTCTTAGGAAGGAAGTAGCCAGAGCCAGATCAGATCTCTTCATGATGAACTGGAAAATTGTCAGAATGAAATTTCCAAACTCAAGAAAGAGAATTTACTTTTGAAGGACACAATGGAGCTACTCAGTGCTGAGTTGGAGTCACAGAAGCAAGAAGCTGCACAGCTTCAGGATAGGGAGAAACAGCACAGAAGGTTTGCCTTAAATTCACATTTTGCAGTGCTTTCTAGAGATTCAATAATATTGCCAACATCAGAGGTGTTCTAAATGTGATGTCAGAATCTCTCCTTTCTGAAGTACTAATTTTAGAGGTTAGGAGTTTTGTAAAAGCAGTAGTTCATTTCATGTTTCTCTCCAGCCATAATAAAAGCATTTGAACTAATTGTTCATTATATATCACAGAGAAGTAAGTTAAGTCCAGGGTAGCCCCACAGGAGTGACCTGAGAAAATCTGCGTAACATCAGCCTTTGAAAGGCACTGGGAGACATAAATCCCAAACTGAGCCAAGAGCTACTGAAAACGTGTAGAAGTTTCTGAGAATAAATACCAGGTTTTTATATGTACTCTGTAGCTGAAACCAATGGGCTGTTAACTCCAAAGAGAACACTTGAAAATGCCATGTGTACTCTGTAAGACTTTGCTTTGGCTGTAATAGCCAGCTTTGCACCAGGGAGTAAGGGCAGTGATAGCGGACACTGCCAGTGCTGATGGAAGTCTGGAGCTCTAACATGCTTTCAGGGCCCAGGAGAGGCAAGGTGACTTGTAGTCTTGGCTGTCTTTGTAGAAGGTGGACAACATCCTTTTAGTGTAGCCACATGCTCGGAGCATGTGTTGCATTGCAGTAATAGCAGTCTTCCCATTTGTGTACAGAAAAAGTGCAGGCCTTACTTTTCACATGAGAGACAAGACTGGGTTCACTGTCCAGTGCATATGTATGGCTGTTGAATCCTTTGAAATTTCTGGGTGATCATAATTAATACATTCTCTTTGCAGAGAGATTGAGGGATCTGGTGCATGGGTACCTTTCAGTTTCTTTCAGCAATGGTGTAGAATGTATGCCCCTAAACACTCAAGCTGTATATATAAAAGGATTTCTGAAGAGTATACCCTTAAAGGAATCTTTACAATTATGTCCTATATAGTCTAGAGAAAAGCACTCAAGGGATACAGGGTCTCTCGGCAGACTGTGAGAGTGGCGAGAGTAATTACATTGCTGTCTACCAGTCAGTAGATATTTAAAGAATACGAAAAACTTTTTTTTCCCCTTGCTCTCTTTGGAGAGTTACTTGAAAGTGACTTTCATTTCAGGCTTTTGAAGCAAGATCAACAGAAAGAATTGCAAACCAGAGAGTTTCATCTGTGCCCTCCAGCTGCCTTGAAGGAATTTAGAACCTCTGTTCATGAAGGGACGAATTATTCACATGTCAGTGATGAGGTCTAAAGGGCCTCAAATGCTAAAGCTGCTTGGCTGGAGGATAAGCTTTACAGGGGATAAATGGTGTAGCTCTACTACAGTAAGCATTTGAGAAGGAAGCATTAATGGAAATTACGTAATGAGAAATCCCGCAAATAACAGGAGGTAGAACCACAGAAAGAACTCAAATGGTCCTAGGCACGTGATACAGGCTGCTCTGAAATTAACCCATGGAATATCTGGAACATTAACATGCAGATCTTGTTTTGCTTTTGCAGGACCAATAATTTGGGTAGGGGAATAGTTAAATTGGTGAGTGCATATAAATAACAGCTTTTTTACTGTTACTTTAACAACAGTGATCTTGTCATATATAGTTGTTTCTCATTTGAAAGCTGATAGTGGCTTGTTATCTGCATCTGCCAAATTTTTATAACCAGTTATTTAAAATTACTGTTCCTACTGTTGCTAAGTAAGTGAAACCAGTAATCTGCTTTAAGTAACCATTCCCATTTCCATTCTCTTGAATTGTGTGACTTCCACCTCCAGTATAGAAACTTTTTGCAAGCATTAGGATGAGAGCAAACAAAGTTGGTTTTTTTTTACGGGAAGAGAGGACAAGTCCCAAAATGGCTATTCTGAAGGATAGCTTTTATTCTGTCCCTGAAGATCCGTTTCAGAGATCCTGGTCCCATTTTGTGCCAAGTGCCAAATAAATCACTCCCATGGCTGTGCTCTAATGTCAAGGGCAGAAACTTTTCATGGGCCTTTTGGTGTTTCCTGAAGCGTTTCAGAAACAAGTAGAAATACATTAAAAAGGGGAAAAAAAAAAAGGTAAACTGAATATCTTTTGTGTAAATTACAATTGTTAATCTGCTGAGTTTGACATCTCTGTTTTAATCAGTAAACAACAGAACATGGGCTCTGCATTGAGTTAATGAAGTTTCTCCAAGGTTTAACAAATGTCAGCAAATAAAAGGCAACAAGCTAATAATGATTCTTCAATAGATGTCTACTGATTTTGGGGTTGGTATCAGAAAGCAATGTTATGGCTAGGCTTGAAAAAATGTTAGGCATCTTTTAGTTTTCAATTGGTAGTGTTAATGAAATAGTAGTATTTTCAAAATATATTGTCTGTTAAAGACAAATGTTGTAGTTAGAGGCATCTCTTACTGTCACTTTAAAAAATATATACACTTAGGATGTTGGTAGGCAGTATTAAATGTTTGTGTTGCCATGATGTGGTGAAATACAGCATCAGAGCCTCATGTTAAGATCCCAGAGATTTCAAAACAATTTTGCTTGATACAAGTGAGTTCCTATGGTACTTTATTGTCATGGTTGACCATTAAGATTGATGTACAAACTAACCATAGACAGAATATCAATAACATCATTATATAGAACAGAGCTCCGTTTCCTGAAGGCTGAAGGTCAAGTACTTCTCCAAATAATTTTTCTCTCCCTCAGTGTTAGTGTGTTTCTGCTTTAGGCTGCAACTGAAGTGTCTAGGTCAAATAAGTAAGCAGAAACCCAGAGGTGCACCCAGTTAACTACCTTTGTAGTCAATAAAAGACCTCAAAACTGCATGCTTTGATGAATGATAATAAACTAGTACTGAAACATGAGAATTCAGACATACTTTAGTACCAATGAAAGGCTACTGGTAGAAGACCTCAGTATGAAGCATAAAAAAGAACTGGACATACTGAAACAAGATCACTGGAAGGAAACTGAAAATGTATTACCTGATTTCAGCAGCACTCAGGCACATCTCCAAGCAAAGATTTTATCCTTAGAAACTAAGCAATTTAAATAAACTCTGTCTCATACTGGCAATGAGTTCTGTTTGAAAATATTATTCTTACTATGTGTAATTTTTTTATTACTCATAGGTAGAATATTATAAGCACTGAAATAGAAGTGTTTAGGTGTTTCCTTTGCAAACACAAAAAGACCCAGATATGCTGTAATACACACAATGAATACTGTTCAACATAAAGCATTATACATAAAGTTTTACAATGCTAAATTAAAACCTGCACTTAGCATCTTGCCATTTTATGAAGTGTAAAATGATCTTTGTCACAGATTATACCAGAGGCCTTGATCTGTGGTTTTGTACTTAATTTTGTTCAGCAGAGCAGCATCTTTGAGTTTAAGCTCTTCCTCATTCCCTACCAAATTTCCCAGGACAGCCCCCATTCACTCATGTAAATAAAAGTACTTTGCAGCCCCCTCTGGGGTTAAGTAGTTGTGTTATGCTTCAGACTGTACAGGAGAGGCCCCTCAGAAATAATCCGTGTGATTATATATATACCATGTCCTTTTCTCTTATGCCAACTGTGGCATAAATCCAGAAGAGAGACCTACTTGCATGTAAGCAGGTCTCAGACCATTCAGATGCTGACATTTATCTTTTTATCTAAAATCTGAGATACAGTAAATTAAGAGTAGAATCATGGAATCATAGAATGGTTTGGGTTGGAAAGGACCTTAGAGATCATCTAGTTCCAACCCCCCCTGCCAGGGGCAGGGACACCCTCCACTAGCCCAGGTTGCTCAAAGCCTCATCCAGCCTGGCCTTGAACACCTCCAGGGATGGGGCATCCACAACTTCCCTGGGCAACCTGTTCCAGTGTCTCACCACCCGCACTGTAAAGAATTTCTTCTTAATATCTAGTCTAAATCTGCCCTCTTCTAACTTAAATCCATTACCCCTTGTCCTGTCACTGCATGTGGGGGGTCCTCTCAAAAATATTTCCCCTCCCCAAAAAAAACCCACAAAATGGTGGTTTGTATTCTGCAATACGTGTTTCGGTATGGCATGCGAACTTCACAGCATTCAGTTTCTCAAGCAGCAAAATTAATTAACTTGGCTGATGAAAATAATGACTTGTTTTCTCATGGGTCAATCAAATGTATGTTTCCACACCATCTTTAAGAGTTGTAAGTTCTCATTTGAATCTTTTCCCCTGATTAAGGCATTTAAAGAGCTGAACTCACACTGCAGGTTTTGACTTAGAGGGTTCACTAAAGCAGCATGTATGTCGAAGCCTCTCTTTTAATGAAAGTTATAGGAATTTAGTATTTCTGAGGCCTCTATCAAATATGGTTGGAATTGGCCGATGGATTCTCAAGTTACTGGGTCAGAAAACAGCACAAATAGATGAACACAGACATCCACACATACTGTGATACAGATTTTTTTCTTTAGGAAACTAACAATGTGATGTGCAAGCTTGTTAGTATTTTACATCAGGGGCTGGATTTTACACTGAACAGGTAGTGTTTGTTAACACAGGTGGCAATTTACTTTGGAATTCCACAACATTCTGTACTTATATGTAATCCATGTACAGGTGCGCATTTTTTAAAAAATGCTGTTTTATCAGAAAGGCCTGACTATGTCCATGTATTTTAGGCTTGGAATTTAGGGCAGAGTACAGACCAGGTATCTCCTGAACCTGGTCTGAGGAAGTTTTTTCTGGTCTGCATTTTCTTTGGTACAGACTTAAAGAATTGGAAGAAAAGTCAAGAAAGTGGGAGTCTGGATCAGAAGATACACACCTTATAGGCTGTCTGGAAGACAAATTAAGTGAGAGAGAAGTGATTATCAAGCAGCTGGCAGTAAGATTTCCTTTTATGTGTACATATATATATACATATGTTGGAATCTGTTGGAGGGCTCTATTCAGTGTTTCAGATGTTGCTTCAGACTGATTCTTGCTGTTCTGGAATACTTTGACAAATAACATGTTTCCATACCAACTTCCAACAAATAGATGCTTCCATACACACAACTTTCTTTCCCCTCAGGAAGGAAGAAAATTTCAGCATTCACTTTTAGCCAGCACTGAATCTTACAGGAACCGATCATTTTCTTTCAACCCCAATACAGCATGCTTGACTCCTTCCATGAAGGTAAGATGGGCAGTGCAATTAAAATTGCCAATCATTATGTTTTACTGCTATTTGAGTCATACAGATAATCAGGACAATAAAGGTCCTATTAATTTTTTATGGTAATGTTATTCAGTAGAGTTCTTTCCAGTAAGCCAGCCTACAGTCAGGTGCTGAGCGTAACATAAATTCAGTAGAAGGATATATGCACATAGATCCAGGTGTTTTAGCAAATATAAAACACTAGAACTCCAAGGACGTCAGTCTTCCCCTGGGATAAAAGCACAGCCATTGCTTGCAGATTTGGGAGCTCCTTGCAGATTTGGGAGTTGCTATTTGGGATACTGCATGCATCAAGGAAAACTATGAACTGTGTTTGGGCTGCTTGGGATTTGCCCTTTGTCATTCCAGCCCGTCTGTATGATGCTATCTGTAAATCGTCAAGAAAAGAAGGGGGGTCAGGTTGGTGCAAAGCATCTAACTGAGCTCTGCAAAGCTGTTGGCTTTGATGTATCTAAAACCTCAAGGTCAAATACACAAGTTGTTTTAATTGGACTACCCAATCCATGGATCCTCACGGCATACCCTGAGAATTTATTTTAAAGTCCTATAGAAAAAGATGGGAATCTTCATTTTTGGGTGGTCCTGACAAGGTATCTGGGAATGAGGTATAGTTAAGGTTTTCTATTATAAAGTGTAAAAAAAAAAAAAAGTGTGTATAATGAAGTTTTCTGTTACAATAAAAAGCAGCAGAAGAAAACGGTTGAGGTGCCCAGTCGTGTTGTCAGTGTTCCAAATTTAGCTTCCTACGCAAAGAGCTTTCTGAGCTGTGACTTGAGATCAAAAAGAAGTACTCCTCAAATAACAAAATCTACAAGCTTAGACCGGAGTCCTGGCTGCCTCAGGGTGGGTTCTCCATCAGCACAGTCCTCAGACAGCTCTGCTGCCACAAGGTATTTGTCCATTTTGCACTAACTTATAATATGATAAATGAGTTGGTATTCAGAATCTTGTAAGCAATTCAAACACATTAGACATTTGCAGATACACAGTGATGTAAGGTTCCTGTTGTGCAGTGAACTCTATGTTTTTGATTCTCCACAGATAGACCCAGAACTTTAGTGCAGCAGTAGGCTATAATCACTGCCCAGCAGAGCTTACCATTGCAACCCCTCCTGGTACACACAAAAAAAGAGGAGTTGCCAAGTATTTAACTAAGAATGTAATTAATAGTGAACATGGCTGTTTAAAACTCTGGGCACATATCAGTGGTTCTGTTAAGGATGTCTTTTCCTTCTTACTTTTGTTTCCTCACTTTGCACTTGATAGTTGTAGATGGCGTATTTTTATTTTAGGAGATATTTGAATGAATCCAGGCTAATCGTTTGGCAAAAGGTTTAGAGACTTAAAATTTATTAACAGATACTTAACTAAAAGTGTCTTAGTTTGATGTTTTTTCTCTGAAAAGCTTAATTTTTCTTCAAATTTATGAGTTATTATTTAAATGTTTAGTGTTTTATAAACATGACTGAACTCTCTCTTCAAGAAATAGTTAAAAACTTCTGTAGTTAACACTGTACAGTTATAAATAGTAACAAAAAGCCCTTACTGCTGTACTTCAGGACAAAAGCCAGCCTTCTCACCTGTTGCCTAGTGGAGATTCGTTATCCTGCAAATTGTGTGCTAGAGAGTTCTTCCCTGGTAGGCAGATGGTGCTGACTGCTGCCAAACACAATAACGCAGGACACAGGCTTAGATCCAGTTTGGCAATTTCTACATCTTAAAGATAAAAGCATTCTGTGTCATGCCAGATGATCGCCAAGGCAAATTGGATTTGTATTTTAAAGGGAAACGTACAGGGAGACTGAGGGTAGCTTGGATGCTACTTACTTTTTAAAAATCAATCAGTCGTAAGTGAAGTCATATTTGCTACTACAAGCTAAGTGAAATTAATATAAATGTTAAAAAAGCATCTTGAATGTTGAAAAAAGTGACTATGTAATACGATTGATTATAAAAGCCAGTTAATATTCAGATGAATCTTTCAGTTTTAAATAAGTTTTTCCCAAGATTTTTAATGCATAAATTGTATTTCATATTTTTAAGAGTGAATTGCAACTGCCATTTTCTGATTTTCAAGACACCAAGCATTCATGAAGCATCCTTTTATTTTTTGATATGTCAAGTCAAGAATTATGTTCAAGCATTTGTCCATAGCTGTTTAGCTCTCCTTCACGCTTTCCTTTGTGTTACTACCAGTGCTGTTAGCCCAGTTACTGGGCTAGCACAGATCCCACTAGAAATTGTAGCTGGCACCTTTTGGCCTAATCCAGTTCATGTGAGCACAGATTGATTCATAGGATCATGAGCCTTTCCAGGAAAAAAGTATTAAATATTGATAAGACTGTAAGTAAGGGATGCTAATGCTTATTTGTTTGCACAGGACACATGGCAATGAACCACCACAGACAAAAGATGACCAAAACCAGGACCCTCAGCATCAAGAATGGTTTACTAAATATTTTTCATTTTAAAGCAAACTATTTTCATACTTCTCAGAATTACTAGAAAAGCTGTTCCTTTTTTCTTTTAGGGAATGATAATCCAATATATGATTTAGAAAAAAAGAGATGCAATTTCCAAGTAAATAATGAAGAAAATTGCACTCTTACATCTAATTACTATGGAGCTATAGGCATGGATTTCAGAAAAATGTTTTTTTTTTTTTTAACAACCTCTGTAAAAAATGAAGAAGAACCAAAATTCTGGATACTGTTATGTGAAGACACTTTTTAATCAAGAGACTGTACGCACTCTACAATTATATTAAATATGCAATTTGGTCTCTGATATATCCTGTCAATCTGGCTCCAGCTGAAAAGAGATCTGACTTCTGTAGGTGATTTCTGAAGGTTTATATATTTGCTTCACCAGCTGTTTAAAATACTTTCTGCATATAATGATGTAGTTTTTAAAGTTTTTAACAGGTTTTTATTAAAGCTGTACAGCATGTGGTACACCTCCAAGAATAGCATGTTTATAGCAGGCTGGTTTGGAAATTCTTTCTAGTTTGCTTAATGAACTATTTTGTATAGTCAGCATTGCAATACAATATTCCTGTTGCACTTCAATACATGTAACAATCAGCCTGATAAATGAGGATAATATGTAAATATGAACATTAAAACTTGCTTGTAAATCATCCATTTCCACGTTTTGCAAAATAGTGCTATGTTGTGCTGAAGTGTGAGTGAGAAAACGCAAGTTCAAGATCTATGGGAACTGCGTACGTGTGCATTTTATCTCAATATTGCTCTTATGCCCACCAAAATGCAAAGTGAGTGACTGACTACACTTGTCAAATCATGCTAGCTCATTCATGACTGGGAGGAAAGACACCTATGAAATTAACCCTCAGGTAATTCATCACCAACTGTGAAAGGCAGGGAATTGTGCAACCAGCAGCCTGGCGTTTAAAACAGGATAGTTCATCCTCAACTGCTGTATGACTTGAATCCCCATTTAATTTCAACCAGCAGGGCCCAGCTATGTAACAAATTTTACATGTACAAAGGCATACCTCGAGCCTAACCTCTTCTTATATCAGACAGCAAGAACTGTACCAACAGGTACAAGCACTTACTACAAAGCAGCCATTGTACCTCATTTGTGGTAAAACGGTGGCAGAAGGGGCAGAATGCTTCTACAGGCCAATACTTTCATCTTTGTTTCCCAGTATTTTGTCCAAGATGAATTGCTCAGTTGGGAAGGAGACTCTGGCATCAGATTTGGCAAAAAGACACTTTTTGTACATCTAACCAAGAAGGGGATAAAATGGTGTACAGTAAGGAGGGGCGCTTAGGTATCTGTGAGAGGATCAGAAATCTATAGGTCTAAGTTTTTAATTAAGATTTTTCATACACTCTGCCCCAAAAACTTTTAAAGCACACTAGAAAGTTCAATATACTAGTTCTAATTTCCAGGGTTACAATATTCTAATTAGTTAACTCTGTGCCCAAAAAGCGTGTCCCTAGAAAGTGACTTTCCTGGGTATATGGATGAATTAAGCTTGTTGCCTAGTAATACAGAGACAGGACTCCTTTGCCGTTTCTACTTCCAAAATCTTTGTCTACATTTACATTACTAAATAGCGCACCCCCCCTAGAAGCTAAGAAGTCTGTAGACGGGACAGTGCTGATGACCGAACATCCACGAGTAGTCTTTATTTTGGGGGTAGGTATTTGGGATCATCTCTACACTAGCCTGACAGGTAGAACATCAGTAACACCGGGCCTGCATTGCATATCCCACCCCAGGGTGCATTCTACGGTTTCATTTAATCCTACAACAAGCAAATTTGTATATCTTGAGACTTCTTAATGAGGTGAGCAAAAGTCCAGAGATGTACAATTCACTTCAAAAAAAGTACTCTTGATCTGACCTGTATCTAGTGGAGTCCCCCAGGG